AATTGTGCTAATTGATGTCAGCAACAGATTTGGAATTATTTTTTCAGAACATTTATTGTCCTGTTTAGTTGAGCTATTTTCTTCTTGCATGTCTTATGATTCCCCATGGTCTGCAGTTGAGCTTTCTGAAAAAATGTACATGTAGTCCCTGGATTCACTCTAGAAAGAGCCTTATTTTTTTTTCTCTTTGAGATTACCCTACAATGTATCTACGTGTAATTTTAATATTTTTTCAGTGAAAAAAACGTCCTATTGTTATTTTTTATGTTCATGTGAATTTAATTTTGTGGATTTTACTCAAAAGCGAAAATAACAAAACTAAAACCAAGCAAATAAGTAATACATTTACAGTACTGGACTAAGCACTCGGTGTTAAGCTGCCTCATTCAACCCATGTGCTACTATCACCAGTTATTTGGTCTGCTGCTGAAATAATGCTCCTGGATAAATGGACTGAAATTTACATATATACATGTAAATACTAAACAAGCGCACATATCGTATTCATTTACAGCATCGGATTTTAAAACAATGACTCGTGGAATCACAAAGAAACTGTTAAGTACGTATTTCACACATTACCGAGGACCGCGGTAGAGGCCGGTACAGCGGTAGAGACCCCTAATTATAAGCAGTCCGCGGCTCTCCTCGGCGTTCTGCGGTACACCGCGGTAATGACCGCGGTGCACCGCTCGTTTGATTTCCTACTCTTCCCTAAATAAGATATTTACAAAAGTATCATGCAATGGGAATACACGCAAACAATGCAATACAAAATCCACTGTGTGTAGTGACATATGTGAAATAAAATACATCATAAAATGTTTATAATAAGTTCATTTTTTTATTCATTCCTGTTAAAGTAGGCATACATTGAATGTATTGAAATCATATGGCTGATCTTTATTCCAAACTGAAATAAACTGGGTATGTTTTGAGAAAATAAATATATAATGCTTTCATTCCTATCTTAGCCAGCAACAAAAAAATTAAAGTCTTAATGAAAAACAAATCTGTCCTGTTTGCTTGCGCCACTAACTCATGCCTCGACTTCTGTTGTGAACAGTACATTGGCCACTACATTGAGCTGCAAACAGTGTCATCAATACATTTTATTACTATATATTACAACACCAGTCGTGACTCCAGACATAACATGGGTAGCTCAAAATTGCGACGCGACTTGTACTAACAAGCAGCCAGTCAAAGGTCAGCATTGATGTGTGACACAGAAACAACCTAAGCAATGTGTCTGCATCATGTTGCTGCTAGGCGTTCTAGACACATTCTAGAGTTTGGGTCCACAAATCCATTTCACATTTGTTCCAGGTCTGGTTGCCTTATCCTTGATTCCATCACTGTGTTTTTGGCAAACTCCTTCAGCAGGTCCATAATTTCAGTGTTATATTCTTCTGGTGTTGGTTTGTTCTCTGAAATTTATAATAATAAACAGCGATCATAGCTTAATAATCATAGCTAATCTAATGTTGTTTGCGTTGCTTATAACAACGCTTTTTACTGTATATTTTATGTCAGTTGCAAAACGGGTATTTCTGAAACTCAGATTTAAAATGTGTTCCAAGTGTTAGAGCTGGTTTTTACACAAGCGAGAATTGCTTAATTACGACAGCCATGTCTATTACCCGTTGAGAGATGACTGGAAACGGGTCTTTACGTCAAGTGACCACACGGAATATAAAACCAACATGTCTGACTCGCCAATTATGATTCGTTCACACTATACATTCTGTTCTTTACAATCAGATTATAACAGTTATGTCTATTGTAGCTCAGTTACATGCCAGACTTACCGACTGCCCAGTAATATATATCCCAATCATTACTAGGTTTGTTTATAAGGTTGTCATATAGCTTGAGTTGCTTTTCATTAAAGGTCTTCAAATATCGAGCTGCAAACGAACTGGAAATTAAAACAGATTTAGTATTCCTATATAGTATACACTGTACCTTCTAGTTTAAAGCGGGGGAGTTGTCACCTGCGCACACGTCAGATGGCCATAGCGTGTCATTGTTTACAAACAAACGTCTACCCATGAGCCTTTGCGTTTTTAATGTGTGTTGTTATCGTTGCTTCGGACTCAATTTCCATGCATGCGCAGGTAACAACCCTCCCACTTGAAAACCCTATCCCACAAATTATTTCTGTCTAAAATCAGGTTATATAGTTAGTCCCCGTTCCAACGAAGTTCGAAAAACGGGGACTATTAATTTGGGTTCTTTCCGTCCGTCCGTATGTCCTTACGTAGGTACATCTGGAGCTATATCTCAGACACCCATTGACGGATTTCATTCAAACTTTATATGAAGACAATACATAATGTCTTACATATGCATGTCAAGTCACTTTATGATCAGAGAAAAAATGGCCAACTGGTGGCCATTTTGGATGTAAAATTTGCTATTTCTGATACCTAAATATGTTCGCAGCAGTTTCTCGGGGATGACTTGGCTGATTTGGATCAAACTTGGTATGATGATAATACAATTTGGGTTGTAGGTGCACGTCACTTTTTTTTCGTGATTCACACAAATATGGCCGACTGGCGGCCATTTTGTTTTTCATGGTACCCATGCTACTTTCTCTTGAATGCAATGAACGTTTTTGTTTAAATTTTGTACAAAGACAGTATACCAATAGATACATCAACATGAACATTATTTTTGTAATTTAATTCCATATGACTGCCAAATGTCCAATTCTTGTGTAAAAGCACTAAATCATATTTTTTTACAAATCCATCTCCTATTAATGGTTTCAATCTAATCCCAATGACTTCAACAGCATCAAATGGATATGTCAGATTACAAAATTTTGGACGAGGACTGTGTCATTTACAATGACTTGTTATTTGAAACTTTGCTAATGGCTGAAAAGAAATCAACATTATTACACTTACAGAGCTTGAAAATTAAAAGGCACTTGGTTTCACAGCAAATTTGATAAAATTGCCTTAGTGTATGGAAGTAGTATAAAAACAAACTTGTATTTTTTTGTTGAAAGGGCAACCTAAATAGCATCCAGCAATTGCCTTTGATCCATCTGTGAAGCCCTGTACTCGATAATACAGATTTATCCCCATGAACTCCAATGCTTATTTTGCCATAACATAAAGTTCTCTTTATTGAACCCCAAATGTAATACAAGCATGGTAAAATGTTATGCAACCCCACACAAAAAATATTTGCATACACCCTGGTTATTATCATCTACTGTGAAATACTTTATTTTAGCTGGAATTAATTTTCCCTGAAAAGACTTTTTGGGTGTTTTGTATGGAATTTATTTTCACTATTTTTTGACGATATTCACTGGATTTTAATTTTCACTGAATCATTCCTTCAGCAAAAATAGCGAAAATTAATTCAAGCGAAAATATTTTACAGTAATCAGATACACAGAGCTACAAAAATAAATAAAACACTTATTACCTGAGCAGAAGCCCATTCTCTAACATCCCCCTTTTACGACTTTGATAAACAAGCCTTGCTCTTGTTTTCTCAATTGTTTCATTATCAGGTGGCTTCCAATCAGGAACAGTTGGTTCAGTGTTACCTGTGTTATCAACTATTTCACTAGAAAACACTCTACTGCATTGGTACAGCACTGGATTGGTATTCTGTGAAAATCAACAAAATTATAATCAATGTTTTAGATTATAGTTAATTCCATATCATTTGATATTATTATCACACTTTTGCATACCCTGATGTTATGAATTCGACAAGAGTTCCTATTGTACTCCCCATCCCTAACTCTAACACTCACTCCCAGTTACCCAATTCATTTGTATATGCCCCCTCTAGATAACTATAGATGTCCTTAGGAGAGGGGCATGTACAATTAAATGGGGAGTGCTGGAGGGTAGGCTTAGGCTTAGGGATGGGGTACAAAAGGAACTCTTTCCATGGATTCTTGGTAAACTATAATGATAGATTCCGACGATGATTTTTTTACACCCTATAATGGGATGGTAATACCACAGTCCCTCTATACGTTGGGTTCTGAATCTGTGGCTCGATTTTGAAACTTCAGGCAGGACAAGAGGTTGAGTCCAAATAAACGTAAGCCTTCCGCCAATGTATATGGAGTGCCGACAAAGTCACAATATAAACAAGCCAATCCATATTCACGAACAAGTTATACACAGTGCGAACTCTAAGTACTTGGAAGTTGGAGGAACAGGACACACGTTGAAATACACGCGTTCTCAATTTTAGCACGACTGTTTAGGGGTATACTGATTAAATTTTGAACCGTGATTAAAGTTCATATCTACACTAGCCGCTAATAATGTATGCCACAACAACAAACAGTCAACTTGAGACAAATCTTACCCGTGAACGCAGAACAATTTTCGAAAAGCATCTTCTGATCAAGGCAGCCATGTCTAAATATTGGTATGTCACGTCGGTGGTGGCGTTATACAGATTTCGAACTTGAAACTTAGAGGGCGCAAGCTACATGCGTTCGCGAGCATCACAATATTTAGTCTGGAGGCAGTTATCAAAATGGCTTAGAAATTTAATTTGTTCAACGTCAACTTAGACTGAATTGTTTTTAGTTTAGTGTCGTGTATCGTCACCATTTATACATATTTAATCAGGGTGATTGCTTAAAAAAAGATAAAAAAAATAACTGAATTCAACATCGTTTTATGCCACCCAATAATATACGCTATAATCACACTAAATAATCATCTTTTCCTGACTTACTGAGTACCTCTTTATATGGTACCAGTAAGAGAACACGTACATGGCATCAACACACTGAGATCAGTGGGTCAAATTTTAGAAAATTGATTAGAAACAATTGTTGCTTGTATAGAAATAACAATTATCCATAACACCAAGTAATTCTAAGATTTAAGATAGGAACATAACACACAAATGATGTTTGGGGACTAGGAACTTGAATATGAAACAGAAGTTGCAATTTCATCGAAAAATTTGTTTCAAAATTAAATGTGACTATACCTTGCATTTATATGCCCAAATTGCAGTATTATTTTTAGAGAATAAAAACGTGTACTAAGTGTAAAAGTATACTTTTTAAAGACAATTAACTTTGTATAATTAACTTTGACAGTTAAAAAAAAAACACTAAACCTGTCAAAATCAATGTAAAAGTTGAGATTCTTCATAGAACACTGTACAATTCTAAAACTGAAAATAATTTTCTTGCCACTATACATTTTTTTTGTAAATGTGAAACAATATGAAATGTGTGATACAGAAGGTGCAACTTTTCAGAAAATTGCATTTCCACAAAATGATACATTTGATACCTTTGGTCAGCACTGGTGACCTAACACATCATAGTTTCAAAAGTTGACCTCCAATGTAAATATTGGTTCAGCAGACTATTATCATCACAATTTGCATGGATTTTACTCTCTCAGGTTGAATGAAAGACATAAATTCTGGAGTCTGCCTTTAAAATAATTGTCTTACAGAATTAACTTGAATCTCCACATGTATTTTGTTCATCTGAATACATGTATAATAAATTAATATTGATTTAAATGTAATTTTTAGTTACCTGGATCGCATACATCAGAAATTAATTCAATCTGTTCTTCACTCACAATCAAACAAATTCCTACAGAACAGTTTAACTGATAGGCACTGTCTATGGGGATTCATGCCAGAGAAGAAAAGTGGACTCTTCCTTGGAAAAATATACAGAAGTGAACAGCTTAATAAGGTCAGTTTTTGAGCCACAAAGTCTTGAAAAAAAACCTTCAGTCTTGAAAGTGGTCTACAGGCAATAAAATATTCTTCAAGCATAATTAATTGCTATTTTTGTGGTGGGGGGGATTGGTTCATACCATGCAAAGCAAATGATAAACAAGAAATCTAGCTTCTAAAAAGAGTACACATTTTCGCATACTATTGTGTCTCCATGTTCACTATCTCAGGAAGGGGTAATGATGACACTCCACACGCTCACAGTCACTCAATCATAGTGATGCTTTAATACAAAACTTGCATGACAATATAGATATCTTCTGCAATAATTTATCAGAATTCAATACAAGTAGTCTGAATCTATCAAAAGATTTTAATATATATTATTTACATAAAAAAAACAATTGCCAAAATTTACACAATTTTCTTATTAAGTAATTTAAATTACAAGTAATTCAATCATAAACTTAATTAATACAAAATTACTAGTTATTCATCCCCTCCATACAATTCTTGAATATATAAATAGTCTTAGAAATTGTTATTTTATATAATTATAATAAATAAATTAAAACATAGTTAGGCAAAAATAACCAATTAAGGTAACAGAAAAAATAATTCAATTTGTTTGCAAAGTTTCATCATCTTTTTTATTTGATTTTATACAATGTAAACTCATTTAAAAATTATTGTTATATTTCAAAGTTCTTGAGTTCTAAATGTCAGACATCAATGGATTCCCTGCAGCTCAGCAAATGGGTCATATTTGTAGCAGGTCAAAGTAAAACACATCATTCAAGGTTGTTTTCACTTCTACTCTGGGTGCTGGCTAATCGCAAGTATCTTATGAATGTTCAGTGGCACTCAGCAGAATTCACTCAGACATTATTGCAACAAAATTAAAAAAAAAGCTGTTCCATCTTAATACTGAATTTAGAGTTTGGAATATAGAAATCCTCAAATTGAAAATCCTGCACTCAAAACAACAGCTGGTGACAAACATCTAATCTGGATACCTCATATAAAAAATACATTTGGTATTGGACACTCATTATTTTACACGTCAAAAGATTCTAATAAAATACAGCAGACAGTTCAGTATTAACTTGTGATCAAAGAAAATTTGGCAAAACTTGTTTGGCAATATCAGTTAGAATTACAGCTACAGGCATTATGTATAAAAAATCTTTGCACTTTGGCTTTATATATATTATAGTGTTGAGTAACAAACACTTGGATCACAAATCACAGCTTTTAAGCAAGAGATCTGCACACTGATGATTTGACTGGACCTAATTTCAGTTCCCTTTTGGTGACCGAAATACAGGTGTACACATAGCTTGTAATAGAAAGTTTTCATTTTTAGGCAGATGTTTTGCTATACCAGTTTCCGTTATGTACTGAGCTAGTAATATGTTGATTCTGTATAGTACTAGGCATCCACATTAACTTTTGAAACTTTACAAAATGTATGTCAAATATGAAAATTTTTCAATTGTATACACACAATGAAATTGGATGCAATTAACCGGTTTTGGTAACAAAAGTATTTTTGTAGTATATCTCCAGGAGATGTACATACAAGTACTAGTACGTCTATTGAAACTGAGGAAACAGGCTCACAAATAACTGCTTATAAAATCACCCCACCCCTTTCTTTCATGGACTTGTACCCTGTAACCATAGCAACCATTGCCGACCCGATGGTAATTTTTGGAATTGTAATGTCTTTAACGAGACGCATGCAATTCTATTATAGTACATGGTATGACTACACATACGTTTAACAATGATGGTCATCTTGAGGTCTATTCACCTTAAATAAAAATAACAATTTTGTATTCCACTTTCATTGAACACAGACGCTCCTTTTTATCAACATTGCCCTTTCTGAACCATCTCATTTGTTAAGAAATGCTGACAGCATTATTTATACAACATACCGCCATCATTATCATCAGTTTGTCAAGAAATATTATTCACTGCCCCAAATAAGCTCACAAAAACGTAATGTATTCATAGTTCTGCATAAATAAATCACTGGATAATCACTGGTTTATCAAGTCTAGTTTTATCTTAGGAATGTCCCCCACACCCATGACGTAAGATTTTATTATTAATTGGTACTCTAGTGGGTTGATTGTACACCATTCATTACAATTCACAAGTTACATTCTCACTTTGCAAATATGTAAAACATCACTCCCGGAACAAGTTATAAACATAAAATGTGTCCAAATTATGAAGTTTTAGTTAAAAAAAATATGATATATTAAAAGTTTTATTTTGAGGGTGCTGAAGGGTCTTAGACAAACACATGTACAAAGTAACTGACCTCAGAGAGTGCAGTTGTTTACGAATGAAGCTTTTTTTTTTAGGAGGCTCCTCATTTCCCATTAAAACCAACAATCTCAACATTTCATAGTGTATATACTGTAGTAGTCAGAGGATGAAACCGCACAAATTTGCAAAGTGAGAATTTAAGTTTACAAAGTCACTTGGGTTTCAGAACTAAGATTTCTTTTTCTCATCAAATTTCTTGTCTTTTATCAAAGTCATTAAAGTCTTCTGTGTTGTTGTCCTGTGTAAGCAGAAAAAAAAAAAAAAAAAAAACATATTTAAATATTGTTAAATATTCATATTTAGCTAACATTCCTCAAAATAAATATCTGTATTAAACATGGATAACATTGCACAAATGACAAAAGTCAAGCTGGCAAGATCTAGCAATTGCAAATTAGTTCAGTGACCATTAAACTACATGTGGTCAATGCATCATCGTGTTCTTACTCGTAGCTAAAAAAAATAGCATGTATATACAGGGTTTGCGTTGGTGTCTCGGCAAGACAAGTCCCACTTACAAAATTTTAAGAAATTGAAATTTGACCCTAGAAAACTTTATTAGAGATTGGACTTCAGCTTGCCTGAAAAACTGGGTCCCTCTTCAATAATTGGAGTCCGGGAAGCAAAATATGGGGTTAACGCAATCCCTGTATATAAATGGTAATGGAATTTTTGTCTAAACTAACCTGAGTGCAAAAGTCGGTACATGCGAACCATAGAGTACAAATATCTGATATCTGTCATCATTTAATGCATAGCATTTATAGTCATCACCACAAATATAAGTATCCTTTGCTTTATGAGATAATAAAGCTTGAAGATCACAAGTCAACTCTACAATAAAGAGATATAGTAACATAGTGAGTTTTTGCTTTGGTGTGTTTGTACCAAGCGTTAACATTAATATATTTATATCACCACAGTTGACTCACTGACACTGGATCAGTGCAGCATAGTGAGGTTGCCGACTATGAATAAGAAATAGATTTGTGATCACAGTAAAGGAAGTCCCTGCACATTCCAATATAGAACATGAAAATTAACTTTATTCTATTCTATTACTTGAAACACATAGATAACCTACCTTCTTTATCCGGACTATGTACAGGTGCAAAATAAATTCCTACTACAGTTTTATAAAATGTTTTAAGTATTCCAATTTTTCTGCTCATACTCAGGATTTTATGCGGCAGTTGCTTTTCATCGGTTGAATTAGGGTGCATAGTGGCAAGGCATCTGTGGTTATCGGTATTTATGAGAATAAATCTGATGAGAAAAGAAAAAAACACAATATTTTAAGATACTAACCTTCAAATAAAATTGAGAATATGTGATGTCATTAATCATATAAAAAGAGAAATGAATAATTTGAAGATATTACAAGCACATTGCAGTGAATAATAAAATTGCTGTAGGGTACGTTGATCTAAACACTAGACATGCATGACATGTATAAAAGCCTCTCACAAATACTAAGCATTTAAAGTTGACCATGTAAATAAACAATGACTGTACATACCCCAGTATACCAAGATCTAATTCCACCGACAGTGGGATATTTCTAGGAAACACTCTAATACAAGATCTCAAGGATTCTAAAGCTGGTTTCCAATGCACTTCTAATAGTTTATCCCTGACATCATCCAGCGTAGGTGTTGGCCCACATAGTACACACGCCTCAACGCCGTGAATCAATTGAAACGTCAGTAACCTGTGGGGAATCTGTTGAAATGAAAGCCTCTTATATTTCTAATGTATGTTCATAGTGATACATGTGAAAATGTCAACAAATTGTATAAAGCATTTTTTAACTCAAGGTTCGAATAAAATATTGCTTTATACATTATGCTCATGTCAAAATAGCATAAAATGTTTTAAATACCAACTGTCCAAAATAAGAATTCACAGTTATGAGGTGGATCGACAATACATGTAGATATAGGTGTTCAGTTCCTGGTTTACCATAATATTTACCTTGGGACTACTATGAGGCAAATAAACAGCAATGTCCCTTGATGATGCCTGGGGCAGTGACCTCAGTAGTAACGACAATAAAACAAGCTCCTGTCCTGTCAAATCCCACCATTTAGTTGTAGCGACCGCTATTCTATCCATCACACATAGACATCCATAAGTGCTGTCTGCAGCATGCACAAAGGACTCCAAGTGCTCCTACAAAGTAATTATTGGTTATTGAGAGTGAGGGCAGGATATACCATATGGCATTCCCGTCTGTTGGCATTAAATAATCACAGGACTTAATGTTTTGATGTGAAACCTAACACACAAACTATGTACATATATTCACAAGATTTGATGCATTGGTTATGACGAAGACTGATATAACCCAATGAAAGATACTACTTTCATTCATCTATGTCATATCTACATCTCAGTTGTTAATACGTTAATATGTTCTAAAGTACTATGGGCTGCAGTATATAAAGAAGTTGTAAATGAATGCCATATTATTATCGGTAACATGGCTGGTATTTCTTTAAATGTGGAAATATGACTACTTGTTTTCTACTAAATTTTGTATATAACTATGACACAATACTTGATTTTCAATTGGAACTTAGTTTTATCGCCTGACTCAATTAGATATTCAATGATTTCACAGTACCTGCAATAATGAGTTTTCTGTAGATAAAAAGATATCAACTGATTCTGTTAAATCTCCAAAAAACTCTGTTTCCTCTAATAGCGTATCAACCAATTTGTAGCATGCCTGTAATAAAAGGATATATATAAAGTGTAAAATACCATAATAACTCACTGGGAATTCAATATTGAGACACGTCAAAGAACATATCTGCACTGGCAGTCATTCAATGCTGAGTGTTGAAACAGAGTGAAAACCTATGAAATAGATCACCAAACATGTGCAAGGCAAAGATCACTACCATCATTCATTCTTATCCCTAAATTTCCACAATCTGATAATTTAAATTAAACTTCCACCACTATTCTCCGACTCAAGAACTGCAATAAAATCATGAGTTTGTGATTTCCCCTGACTTGTAAAATTTTGTTGCTCATAAATTGTGCATTTTTAAAAACAAAATTGAATTTACAAGTTCTTCTGATGAGTAGAATCGGTTGGGGTGTGATTGTGATCAGATTTGTCAAAGCTGAGGTACCGATTTGAATGACATTAGCGACCTTTGCATTCACATACGTATTCGCAGAGTGTCTCAATTCATTGTGACTAACCACATATTTATAAATACCATGGGTTACCTGGGTTATGCTTTATGACAGGTTGTTTGACTCTATAAAAATGTAAGCTTTAGTGAAATACACTAACACAGTAGATGTTCTCATACTTCACTGATTAAAATGATTAAAAATGTTCCATGTAAATCAATGAAATCAAAGAATTAATGAGTAATGAGAGTCTTTCTGAACATACTTACTTTGAGATCACGTTTCAATCTTTCCACATTTTTAATTGATATAATGTCATCTAAACCAACTAAAAGCACCTGAAACAAACAAACAAAAGATAGTATGAGGAATTCAAATCATTGTCATACATGTAGTAGGAATGAAATGCCACGGGCAGCCTCTTTACAGGAAGTTGTCATGTCTTCACTAGATTAATTAAAGAAGTTTGAGCTGAATTAAAATGCTGCACTAATGAGCATATGCTACTGAAAATATGTACAATGCATTGTGGGATAGGAACTCAAGTTTTACATCTACATGTACTGAGCTAATGGATTAATATATGGCAGGGAAATTTTTATTGAACATAATGTACAAATATTATCACGCTGAAAACCCAATGATGTATAATATGTTAATTTGTAATAATATTGGGATTCATAACAATAACAGTATATAAAATTACAAGATATGACAAAATGAACATAAACAAACAAAAAATTCTTGTTTTCTCCCAAAACTAAACATAAAACACTTTTTTTTTCATTATCTTGTTTTATAAACAAATCCAACATTTCATTATCTTGTTTTATAAACAAATCCAACACAAATTTCCTGATTCAACAGGTCATGTTTTACTTTTCCCCAATAGAGTCCCATGTAACTATGCAATCCGCATAAAGTAATACCACATTTATTTCAAAAATTTGGTACATGTATAAGCAATTTATTTGCAAAATATGTATTGAGCAAACTTAGTATGAAAGTATGAACAAAATGTCACCATACAAAATTTAATTCCTGTGTGTATGAATTTGAAATCATCCTTACCATAGAATGAAATACGTTGTCTAATAATCTGTAAAGATGAGTATCACTAGCACCATCATCACAGATAACAACAATCAATGTTATACTGTAAAAGTAAATAAGATTAGGTTACATATATCGTAGCATGTATGAAAATCATATACCGGTACTAATGAATAACCATAAATACTAATGTGTAACATTGACGATGAAGCTGAAAACGATTTATGTTCTGAATAACGTCTCATGTTCTATTTACAGCAAGTTTCAGAAGTACTGGGGCAGCCAATTTGCAAACTCACTAGCGAACTAGCTAACATCTTGGGTTTAAGTGGGCGTGAAAAGGTATGAAGCATGAAAAAGTCCTCATACCTTTCATGGTAGACTTTCCACGCAATTCTGGCTTCATCTGTTGCTGTGCTCTGAAGTTTCACTCCATGATTCTGTGCAAACATCTGAACGCCATTCAACATCCCAACTTCGGCAAACGCCAGCTATGCATGGGACGAATAGTGATAGTGATGTTTGATAAATCTAGTAAATAGACTGAAATGAATGTACCTGACTCCCTAGTAAAAGAATTAATTGAAATACATGACACCACAATTTACTTTCCAATAATGCAATAATGCATATCCTTATCCACAACCAGAATCATTACCGGTATTTAATGAATTAAATATGGAGGAAAAATCAATTTTACAAAATCCCATTCCCTTAATTTAAATTATTTAAGGTAAAAAAATTCGAAAATATGCAAAGCTTGTCTGTAAAAGAATTTTAATTTGAATTAGATTTATCCTACAGCTCCTCAAACAGTTTTTTCTTCTCGCAATAGCATAAGTTAGTTAGAAACCAGGGCCTCACAAATGCTTGTATCAAACCCATACTAATACTAATTCTTCTTTTTTTTGCCAAATTGCTGTTGAATGAAATAGGACAATTGGACTGTCCATGGAGGTAAATGACCAATCAGAGTTGCTAAACTGTGAGTTGTGGTAAGAGTAAGAAATAATGAAAACCTTGAAAACTTGGGGAGAAATGACAGACACTATCAATCAATAATTATCACAATACATCATCAGTCAATCTGAATAAAATCCGATGGAGAACCATCAAAAGTGCATTACATCCCTCTCGCACCGCACCCCACCAATAACGCCCAGTGGTTTAGACCCAACTGAAAATAAAGCCACAGGAGGTATTTCGCCGACACAGTGTTCACGTTTACGTGAAGTTCAAGTTGTTTATTTTGTAAAACCATGCTCATATATTTATACAAGATATAGATAATATCACCGATCATAACAATTTATACTTGACAGATGCAAATGCAACTTCCGTAACATAAAATATTTGAGTTTATAAAAACACTTTGCTAAGTTATCTGTGCCTTCAGCGGAAAACGTCGGCGTGTACCATTGCGATTGGCGATAAAATCAACCCTCTTAGCAATGCTCTATAAAGATCAAAACATGTAAAGGATGTTGACTATGTCGTTACCGGTTTTATGTTCCCCTTCGTTCTTGTAAACAACGGAACTCCTCCGTCAGCAGTCAAACAAACCAAATAAGCCGCCATCTTAATGTACGCACGTATCCGTGACGTCACATTTTAAGGCGTATGTGTAGATAGGTGACGTTGAATAGCAACAAGGCAAAACATTCGGAATCGGAAGTTCGCTGGAAGTGTGTTCGCTAAGACTTCTGATGAATTGGCCACCGAAATAGTATCCAAGGTGCACAATAGTGATAACACGGTAAGTTGAATTCATCAGAATACACTAGAACGATACGTGATATCATTCCTGCAGCGTTTTGAGAAAGTGCGAACGTCGATATGTGCGACCGGGTTGCATGCAACCTTATCTAAATCTACTGCAGAACACCGCAACCGACTTACCCTGTCTTGACATTGAAATAGAAATAGTTACATACACACTTGAATTTTACTGTTCGGAAGTTTATGTACTGTTGCATTAACTTAAGAATTGTATAACAGATTGGTGCTCACACTTTTAGTTTAATTATTGTCCACACCTGTGATTATAAACATGGTGTAACCACATGCACAAGGCCCTGGCGCGATACTGTTGCAAACCATGGGTAAACAATATTGTTTTGTAAAACTCCACAAACTGCATTGAAAATAAAAACTCCTTGGAGACATGATTGGGCACTTTGTTTTGATTTTCACAATGGATAGTTAACACACAAGCAATCGTTCAGAAATAAAATATAGAATTTCAGACGTTTATAATATAATTTATAATTTCGGAAATTGAAAAAGAATAATTTAATTACTAAACTTCATCAATATTTGACCCATGAATGAAACTTTATAATTGTTTGCTCAGTTGTATTAATGTTCTATCAGGACTGAGTATCAGGAATTGAAATTCTGGTAGTAACTACTGCTGCTAACTTGATAATATAACACAAGATGTGTTACCGTACTTGTGCATAGAAATCAATACTTGTAATGTCTATTAGACAATTGACTCATTCAGCTTTTGTTTAATCAACAGTTTTTAAACACTGAATTTAGGCATCTATCACAATGGGCAAGAAAACCAAGAAGGACAGTGAGCCACCCCCAAAGGATATTGTAAGTATGCGGTCACTAAGTATTATGTTAACCCTCGTGCAGTCAAGTCAATGTAAATGTACATGGGGGCTGACAAGATTACTGCAGTATGTGGCTATAGAACAGACAAAGTAATTTACAATTATCGTTAGTATAAATTTCACGATAGATGCATCTGATCGTATGTCAAACAGAAAATCCAACGTATGGCTTAGTAACTTGATAAAAACTATCAGATGCTGAAAACTCAATCACAAATAAATCTTCAGAATTAATAGCCTATGGCAAGAAGTTAAGTTCTGATGCAGATATCTTGTGAATAATGTAACTGATGCATTTAATATGACTATTACTTGACATGCCAAGGTCTTCAAACAAAATATTGTCGAAAATACATTTTTATAAGGTGATATGTGGTAAAAACTAGTATCAATAATTTGTAACCTGTAAATTTAAGGTATCTGTCAATAGTACTGATTATCTGAAACTTTACTCATTGCCAAGTAACTCTAATTTGGAAATTTTTACAATGTTATGTTTGCAAATTGATAGTGCTCTGCACAAGTTGCAAAGATGTAATATTCTGCTAAACATACAAAACTGATGTGTACAGAAAATGACCTTTTTATCTTGACAAAATGAGGAAAAATTAGATTTAAAGAGGACCCTGTTGAAGATACACAATGTAGGCTTTTGGTCTAACAGGCTACCCACTATAAATTAAGATGAAATTAAATCAAATCAAATATCAAGTATTTTAAAAGTAAGATATTACCGGGTACTTTAACTTGAAGAGTTGAATAAATACACAAGATCACCTTAGATCAAATTGGCCTTCAATCATATCATGCAAATGATCATTCGACCAAATCAGTGTCATAAGGGTGAACACTGGGTCACATTTTAAACAGGTTGCCTTAGCTTAACATGGATTGGTATGAATGGGTTACACATTCTCTGGATGTAATAAGCTGAGTTGTTTGTAATCTTTCTGGGGGATGCCCAGTGGCCTGGGGAAAGACACACTGATGTGTAGCAAGGTGGTTTGGTGCTATATGTGAGATTTGGTTTGAGCCACACACACAATAAATATTATGTATTTGGTCTTATTTCCTTGCCTAGCTTAATATATGGGCACTAATTCTTATAAGCAGTTAATAAAAATACCAGAGTACTATTGTTGTCCATTTTAACTGTTTTCTTTGTTCACAGTTTGCATTGAATATTTCATATAACAACTGTAGTACTTCAAACTGCAATGGATATTATTATATACATATATCAATGCCACTTTTGTTACTTATAGTCTTCTATTTTATGTACTATTTTCAGTTTGATCCTCTGTCGGTGGAAAGCAAACAAGCTGCCACTGTTGTGTTGATGTTAGACAGCCCTGAGGAAGAAGTTCAACTGAAAGCATGTGAAGCACTTTATAAGTTTGCTGAAAAATGTAAGTATTTATCAATTGGTCAATTTGTTGCAAGTCTTAAAAATACAAAGTAGCTGGATGAACAAGCCAATTAGACAGCTGTTTAGCTGGTAGTAGGCTCTTAACAAAACCTCTTCCAGCCTCTAAGTGTTTCTGCACATCTTGACTGTCATGTGTTTTTTTTTTCCTTGTAGGTGAAGATAATAAAGTATTGTTATTAGAACTTGGTGCAATGCCACCTTTACTGAAACTAATCTGTGCTGAGGATAAGATAGTTAGAAGGAATGCTACAATGTCTCTGGGTGTTATGGCTGTGCATCGTAAGTCAACGCATATATATATTTATATAATAGCTATTGTTTGATATTTTAATTTTGCTGACTTGGTATATGAGTTTGTACATGTACATATATATATCTCTGTATCACAGACTTTGAAAGGGACCCTCATTTATGGATAAGTTGGTGTCCCATCTGTGATTCAAAATTTACGATCTCAGGTGATGCTAGTGGAACACTGTTATTAAAATGTTGTTTTAATTTTAATCATGAATGTTTTTATTTTTATAATTTCAGCTGAAGTGAGAAAAGCATTAAGGAAAACAGATTTTATTTCACAAATTATAAAATTATTGGCACCAGAAGGTAGGTTAAACATTTTAAAATTAAATTGATAGTATAAACTATGAGTTTTTATTAATTGAACAATATTATTATCAGTGAAATGTTTAAATTTTTTAGGCAACTGTTACTGATTACTAAATTTATCTTATTTATTTTAGAGGATACCTTAGTACACGAGTTTTCCAGTCTGTGTCTAGCTGCAATGGCTAATGAGTTCACAAGTAAAGTACAGATATTTGAACATGATGGTATTGAACCATTGATAAGACTATTGAGTGACCCAGATCCAGATGTACAGAAGAACTCGGTGGAAGCAATATGTCTGATGTTACAAGACTTCCAGACAAAGGCTGCTATCAGGTAAAAGCAATTCTTATGATATTTATAATGCCTGTAATTGTAGCCTATACCGGAAGTGATCATTGTAGCCTCAGAACAATTTACAATATTTCAAGTTGGATGTGGTATATTGTAATTGACTTTCTATGTTGGCATTTGATTAAAGTGCGGGTGTCGTCACCTGCGCATGTGTCAGATGGTCATAGCATGTCAATGTTACAAACAAGCGTCTACCCATGAGCCTTTGCATTTTTAGTGTGTATTGTTATCGTCGCTTGGGACTCAATTCCCCCGTGTGCGCAGGTGATGACCCTCTCGCTTTAAATATCACTAAGTCTAAACTGATTTGAGTTGTATATGATTGTCAGTTATTACTTTTATGTTTTTCAGGGAATTAGGTGGACTACAGCCTCTATTGGATCTGTTAAAATCGGAGTACCCCATGATCCAAGAGCTTGCCCTTGTGAGTTTGGCAAGAGCTACAGAGGATGTAGAAAACAGGGGGGAACTTAGAGAATTGGGAGGTCTAGAAAGACTGGTAGAATTCATTGGAAATCAGGTTAGTACTGGATTTAATATAAATTTCCTCAGTGACAAATTTTATTTTAATTCTTTCTCATGGGTAATACTTTCAAAGCCACGCTGTATAGCTTGTACAGCACGACTTTAACAATAAATATTAGTATTTGAATATATTTCTGATTTTATATAGCATGGCTAAATCATAAAAATTGTGAGTGTGTTCACAGTGAGATATAGCTTATGTTTCAATACCAGCCACTAATTGTTTCTATTTGTTTCTCAGGAATGGACTGATCTCCATGTACATGCTCTCTTAGTCATGTCCAACTGTTTGGAAGATACTGAAAGCATGGAGTTAATACAGAGCACTGGAGGCCTCTCAAAACTTTTACAATTCTGTATAGATTCTACATTGCCCGACGTACAACAGAACGCTGCCAAAGCAATTGCTAAGGCTGCTAGGAACTGTAAGTTATTTATTTATACAGTGTTATTTATGTGTTTTGTTACTGTAGTTGACATTTAAGTTTTTGGTAAAAATCTGTACATATTAATTACCTAATTTGCATGATAATTTGCTAATTTTTAGCTGTTTTATGACTGTTCCACTGATATCTAAACAACCACTCATGCTCTAAACTAATGCTAGGTTTTGATCAGTATTTGGTAAAAATTACATAATTACTAATTACCTAATTTGCATAATGATTAGTCAATTTTCGTTTTTTCCACTGATATCTCAAGTACTAATCATCACATTTCAATGAAACTTGGTACATAGATGTCATAGGACACTGCACGACCTGATAGTTTTTAGGGTAATATCAGTGCATATTAATTACCTAATTTGCATAATTAATTAATTTTAAGCTTTTTGATGTTTCAAGTAGTAAGCATTACATTTCAATGAAACTTGGTACATAGATCCTTTAGGACTATCCAGAGACCTGATTAGTTTTAAGGTAAATAATTGTGCATATTAATTACCTAATTTGCATAATTTATTAATTTTCAGCTTTCACACTGATTTCTCAAGTACTAATCAGCACATTTCAATGAAACTTTGTACATGGATGCTGTAGGACAATAGACAGACCTGGATAATTGTGGGTTAAAATCTGTACATATTAATTACTAATTTGCATAATTAACCACTTTTAAGCTATCACACTGATATCTAAAGTACTAATTATTCCATTTCAATGAAACTTAGTACAAAAATGCTCTAGGACAATGTACAAACCTGATTAGTTTGGGGTTAAAATCTGTTCATATTATTCCCTAATTAGCATAATAATTCATAATTTGTTTTGGTTCCAATCACATTTCAAAAAAACTTGGTACATAGATGGTCTGTTATATTGCGCAGACCTTATTAGTTTTACACTCAAATCTATTCATGTTAATTTTCTGATTTGCATTATTAGTTTTCAGCTTTTCCATCACTATCTAAATCAAGTACAAGTAATTTCAAATTATTTTTAATGTGTCTCCAATACTCTCAGCACATGGGAGTTCTTTCTAAGCTTTCTTTGATTTTATTTTGTAGCTGAAAATCGTAAAATATTTCATGAGCAAGAAGCAGAAAAAACTTTGATTCAGTTGTTAGAAACTGATAATGCGCTGGTCCAAGCAGCTGCCTGTCAGGCATTGGCCATCATGTCAGAAAATATACTCTCCAAGTCTACCATTGGTGAGCAAGGTAAGTACATATTACATTGTGATTATTTTCTTCTCTCTTATACAGTGTCAGATTGTAACAGCAATGTGCAATGCAATGCCTATTGGTCATTTTGAGAATTCATCCATTGTGTCACAAGTCTTGTCTTGTTTTTCTTCTTATTGAAACCAAGCACATTTATTTTGCTAAAAAATGTCCTAATGATTTTTCTCATTAAAATAAATATTGCATTCATTTGTATTATTTTTTTGAACAGACGGTATTGGTCCACTGATCAAACTACTGAACAGTGATCAGGCTAATGTGAGGGAAGCAGCATCACTTGCTTTGGCAAATCTCACCACTTCCAGTTCAAATAACTGCAGGTAAGTTGACAATAAAGTCAACAGCTTATGAATACAACACATTGTAGAATAATTTTTTCGAGGATTTATAATCAAGTTCAATAATACAAGGGTATTTTTTTACTACCAAGCAGTTTATCATCATGGGTATATAAACAATATTATATCTAGCTCTTTGAATGCCAAAGTCAACTTTTATCTCTCACACAGAAATTCAAAATTTTTTCTATATTTGTTCACAATTTTTGATTTGGTCCACAATTAAATTGCAGAAAAATGAACAAAATATTACACCAAATTTTATTTATAAAGTCAATCCCAAAAGATTTCAAAATGGTCTTTATAGAGGAGGTTGGATTATTTTTGTATGGATCACCAACTCATACATTTGACATAATATTTGTTACTGAGGGGCTATAGTCACAACAAAAACTTTATCAAATCAAATAAGCTTGACTTAAAAATTATTTTGGTGTCTAAACAAAGACAAATATGGAAGAATTTTCCATAAAACAGATGCTCCTTATATACACGTTGATCATATGTTATGCCCTGGGACTGCCTAAAATTGGGTCTATAGACAGGTGATCTTTATATATAGAGGTTGTTACAAATCACAGATTTAACTGTACTGACTACAATTAGCTACTATCATCACTACCTTTATGGCTGTCATATAAATAGATATCTTTCAAGAAGATATAAAACCAGTATTAATTAAGATTTGTGTTATCTTCACTGTTTACAGCGATGTTGTTGATCAGAAAGGAGTAGAACCACTGATCGGTCTGCTGGGGGATAGTAAAGAAGGTGCCCAGGCCAATGCTGCTGTAGTACTAACCAACATGGCAACTGACGAGATAATGCGAACAGATATCGTTAGTAAAGGAATTGTATCAGCACTAACATCACCTCTACTCTCAAGGTAAGAAAAAATATCATCTAATTCTACTTTGTATAGTAACATTTGATGTAATTTTTGGATTTTATTTTTTCACTCTACTGCTCCTGATCAGTTACTAGATACTTCAATAAAAAAAAAACCTTTATGAATTCCCAAATTAAACTGAATTCCCTTTTTAAACAAACATGTAAATTTTGTCAATTGTTATTCCCATAGCAACACGGTTGTTCAGAGTAAAGCTGCTTTAGCTGTGGCAGCATTTGTATGTGATGCAGACTCCAGGACAGAGGTGAGGAACTATTTCTTTTAAGAAAAATCAAAAATATCAATAATATCATATCTTGAGTCAGCGAATTTCATGTGTGTGAAAATATGGCATGTTCTATCAACCCGATCAGGTTTACAATATTACTTGCATTTCATTCATCTTCCACAGCCTATTTGTTCCAATAAACATATCATAGAGCTGTCATAATGTTTTTATTCTTTCTTCGTACATAGTTTCGGAATTCAGGAGGATTGCCAGCTTTATGCAAGTTGTTGAGTTCAGGCAATGATGAAGTAAGGAGGGGTGCATCATGGGCTATTGTGGTTTGTGCTACAGATACGCCAAGTGCTATGGAAGTCTGTAAAATGGGGTAAGCGCAGGCCACAGTAAATAAATACTACAACTGAGGGCAGTTTCTTGTACATGCTGACTGTAGGAGAGTCTCTTTGTGTATGCATACCAAAGATGCTACAAAATGTACATATACATGTATGTACATGATCATGTTGAAATAACACTAGTCGTGCACATATGCCAAGGATGATGCATTGTCTGTTGTGGAAGCGTCAACTGTGCACAGTAATTATGGTGAAGCATGTGATTCTGTAAAGGGGTTAATTATTCACTGGGTTTTAATTTCACTGACTTGAAAATGCGTAAATAAAAACCCAGTAAATATGTAAAATTTAGCTTAGAACACATTATCTAAATGATAAAACCGTGAATTTAAAACCCACTGAATATGCCTGAAATGGTAAATCAGCGTAATTTTAAAGCCAGTGAAAATTATTCAAAAACAGCATTGATAACTTGTATGTTATACATACATCTGCTGATTCGCTGCATACATGCATTGGACACACTATGGGGTAGTTATTTTTTATCAAATTTGACATTTATTAACATAATCTCAATACTACAATGAATTACTCTGTTCCGATCAGTTTCTTATCTTATTTTGTTTTGATTGTTACAGTGGCTTAGAAGTATTACAAGAAATAGACCAGTCCACTACAAGGCAAAATCAGTTTAGTAAAGCTGCTTTGGATCGATTGTTAGATAGTAATTTACCTGCTAAGTATGCCTTGACGGGCAAACTTACAGCAACTGATATTATACAAGATGGATTCTATGATGCAGGACAGGTAAGCCTGGACTCAAATATAAATCTTATCTATACTCTGACCAGTGACACCTCATTATTTTTCAGCTTGCAGCTGTTATTTATAATGCACTACAGTCCTGCACATCAACCTTGGCATTTGGACATGCATGGTTAATTGCTTTTGATTACGTCTATATGCTTCACTTTAAGCCTGCAACTACATCACTGTTGCTCAGAGCTGCTGAGCACCACATGTATAATGTAACACAACACACATTTCTATTCTAGGCCAAATTTTACAGTTCAATGTATGTGTATGAAGATGAAAATGGGGAGCGGGTAAATTGTTTCAATATTAGCATGTTTTGTATCCCTTCCCTTTCTCCAATACGTAACCTTTGCATGTTTTGGATTGAGTGTCGATTGTAACTAATACAAGCAACTACAGTAATAACCATCTGCAAATCATGGTATATCTACACATCTTTTGATTGATAATCTGATTGCTGTCGGGGATGCTGACTAATCATTACTGTGTGGTGTTTTATTGCTTGATGTGTGCATTTTAATATTTTGCATATTAATTAGCTTAACTTTCAAATAATTTAAATGTATAAAGAAATGTTTTTTTTATTTGTTATGTTTATGGAGGCACTTTAATTTAATAATTCATATTTGTTAGTTTTATTTGCAACACCAATTAATCATTAAAAATTTTGGCAATCTATTGTTCAGCTGAATTGTAATTGAAAGGCTTAGTACTGATGGTAATTTTACACTAATACAGCAGTATCAGTACTAGAATTATGGGTATTTTTTCAAAGCAAAGTCAAATATTTTTGCTATTGCTCATGCATCTTTGTGATGTTTTACTTGCTATAAGCCGTTTATAAATATATTATTGTTATCTTAGTTGAAAGAAAATGTAGATTGTGTGATATTGGTTAATCCCTGCACATTAAACTGGCCAATGAACAAAGAGTAATTTAATTTTTAATCACATAGCTATCCAGTTATTGTTATATTATCACCACCCAGTTGCATCATCTTCAAGTTGATCCGTCTACCTGGTCTTCCTATCCATGGCACCTTTGAAAACAATCACCACTAGTACCACCCTCCTCATTACATTAAATCACATAGTGTGTGTGATGTTTGCATAAATCTGAATGGCCATAATGATATATTATCAGGGCCGTATCTAGGTGTTAGTGGAGTCAGGTATGGAGAGTCCAGTGTCGGGTGTTGCATAGGTTCTCAAGGTGTTAATGGAGTGAGGATATTTTTCACGATGTCATCATTTTATGTGGTAAAAAAGAGTAAACACTTTTGCATTTAATTTTTACTTTTAATGGAAATGGTTTCTGATTCTGGTAACAGCGCATTAAATTTTGAGTTTTTCTAAGATTTATTTACATATTTCATTGTAGCTAAAACCAACTGGTAAGTTTCTGACTTTGGAAGAATACAGCAAACAGGAAGTGGATTCCCGAAGACCGGTATTGCTTGTGAACACCAAGGAGCCGGAAAGTAAAAGCAGTTCCCCAGTGCCCACCCCTTCAGAAGCTGAATTGAAAACAGATTCAAAATCTTCCGTAAGCGTGAAAAGTTCCAAGGCTAATGTGAGGTAAATCTCAATGGATTACTCAAATTTGTTTGTGGTATTTGAATTGTTTTCATTGTTCAAACAAAAAAGTACAGCAGTTACTTGCACTGAATAAATATACATGTACCATTATATTGTCAATATTATTGTAGGAGAAAAGAGAGTAAAAAAGAAAGAGAAGAGAGGGAAGAAAGGGAAAGGGTGGAGGCAGAGAGACTGGCGGAGATGCAAAAACAACAAGCAGAGCAACCGCCACCGTGGCACCCACCAGCTGATACAGCATTGGAAAATTACATCACTGAAGTCATGACGCACATTGCACCACTACCGACAACACGAGAACAAGTGACTGCTATGGCACAGTAAGTGAGATTATGGCTCAAGATTGTTATTTGCCATGCAGTGATGCAATAGTCGTGAATTGACTGCACATTCACTGCAAGATTCTATGTTATGCATGAACTCAAACTTAAAAACAGGACAAATACCGGTAAACGTCTTAGGGATAACAAATCATCATGTTGGAATTGAAAAACGCAAAAGTGTTTTTAGTGTATTTTCACACTTAATATTGCGCTTTGCACATTTGATGATGGTCAATTTTGTTGAAGCAAGGATATCTCAAAAATAGACAGTCAACATTGAGCTATAAACAAACAAAAAAATAAATCTTTCTGTCAACTTGTAAATGTTTAATATGGAGTACCACACATCCTGAATTATTTTGATACATTGTACATGTGATGTGTCGGTGGACTGCATTGGATTTGCCGACTTAATCATGTATTAGAATCCTGCTGATTACAACTTCTTGTGTCATTTATTTATTCATAGATTTGTGAGTGGGAACATGGGAGGACCTATTGAGAGAGGACAGTTGTCTAGTTTCAGTTATGAGCTGCCTATTAGTCAAATCAAGTATGACTTGCAGTGTAATGTATTACCGCTTGGTAAAATAGTCACTGGTATACACTACCACAGAGCTCTACTCTTCAAGGTAATATATACATGTATATATACCAGTATTGTTAAAAAAAATTGGTACTGGTAGATAAATTAACATATCAATTCGCAAAATTGTTATAAGTGTTAAAGATCACACCTCATAATGAGTATGGTTTTCAGAGCTACTGTAAAATGCTTTATTTTAGCTGGAATTAATTTTCACTGAAGAGACTTTTTGGGTGTTTTGCATGGAATTTTATTTTCACTGATTTTTGACATGTTGAATGTAAAATATAGGAAAAAGGTATATTCGCTGGATTTATTTTCAATGAATCATTGTTTCAGTGAAATTAGTGAAAATTAAAAAATAAATTAATTATTTGACCATCTGCACGCTGAGCATTAAGCACCTATATTATGTAAAGGCATTTGATTGCAACCAAAGTGGATCAACCGAAAACATGTACAGTGTATAACGTTATGTACGGTACATCATGGAGAGTTGCACTGAATACTTTTATTTATACAACTTGCTACAGGTAATCTATGTATTACCAGTACATCAATCTAAAATCTTATCTATATGTATGTAACTTTCATTACAGGTGTTGTGTGATCGCATTGCAGTGGGTTGTACATTGGTTAGAGGAGAGTACGGCAGAGCCTGGAATGAAATCATGTTGACTGACGATGAAGCGGTACGTAACAATTAAGCATGTTTACTTGTTAGGAATCGCCATCTGCATCTATCGTGGACAAAACTTATTTTTGTTGTTTACATTGTGATATATTTCTAATGCAGTTTTTTTATTTTATTTATTAGTTAAGTGCAAATTGTTTGTTTAATTAATTTATGTATGTTTCCCCCAAATTGCCAAAACAGATTCTATATTTGAATTTTATTACCCATAAAAACAATGATTAATGAAGCAATCATATTGTTACAAAAAAAAACCAACAATAGTGAGTAACAGGAATCTGAAATAGCGGTAACAGCTAGTTGGGACAGACATTGACGTAAATATAATAAAACAATATTATATACATAATATAGGAAATAATACATAATTTACCAATAATTTCTTTTTTTTTCTTTTCCTGTTTTCAGCCCGGTGCACCTAAATTTCCTCCCAAGGAGTACATAGTAGACTTGGTTCATGATCCTGGCCGACTAATGAGATCTGACTGTGCCGATGCTGTAAATTATCAAAAACTTTAAAATTTTGAATAATTTCAAATAAATAAATCATGCAAGAACTGGAAGTTTCAGTTCTTAATCACTATGAAAAACTGCGTAAAGTTTGTGCTTTTTGCAAATTTCCCCCTGCCACTGTATCAATGCATTAAAAAATATTTGGCTGGATAATGCAAACAAGATAATAATTAACAGTCCAATATGGGTCACCTGAAAAAAAATAAAACTTCACTATGGCCCAACTACACTGAGGGCTAATGCAATG